ATCAAGTGGAGTGCCCCAAGGGTCGGTCCTGGGGCCGGTTTTGTTCAATATCTTCATAAATGATCTGGAGGATGGTGTGGATTGCACTCTCAGCAAATTTGCGGATGCTACTAAACTGGGAGGAGTGGTAGATACGCTGGAGGGCAGGGATAGGATACAGAAGGACCTAGACAAATTGGAGGATTGGGCCAAAAGAAATCTGATGAGGTTCAATAAGGATAAGTGCAGGGTCCTGCACTTAGGACGGAAGAACCCAATGCACAGCTACAGACTAGGGATCAAATGGCTAGGCAGCAGTTCTGCGGAAAAGGACCTAGGGGTGACAGTGGACGAGAAGCTGGATATGAGTCAGCAGTGTGCCCTTGTTGCCAAGAAGGCCAATGGCATTTTGGGATGTATAAGTAGGGGCATAGCGAGCAGATCGAGGGACGTGATCGTTCCCCTCTATTCGACATTGGTGAGGCCTCATCTGGAGTACTGTGTCCAGTTTTGGGCCCCACACTTCAAGAAGGATGTGGATAAATTGGAGAGAGTCCAGCGAAGGGCAACAAAAATGATTAGGGGTCTGGAACACATGAGTTATGAGGAGAGGCTGAGGGAGCTGGGATTGTTTAGCCTGCAGAAGAGAAGAATGAGGGGGGATTTGATAGCTGCTTTCAACTACCTGAAAGGGAGTTCCAAAGAGGATGGATCTAGACTGTTCTCCATGGGAGCTGATGACAGAACAAGGAGTAATGGTCTCAAGTTGCAGTGGGGGAGGTTTAGGTTGGATATTAAGAAAAACTTTTTCACTAGGAGGGTGATGAAACACTGGAATGCGTTACCTAGGGAGGTGGTAGAATCTCCTTCCTGAGAGGTTTTTAAGGTCAGGCTTGACAAAGCCCTGGCTGGGATGATTTAACTGGGAATTGGTCCTGCTTTGAGCAGGGGGTTGGACTAGATGACCTTCTGGGGTCCCTTCCAACCCTGATATTATATGATTCTATTATTCTATGACTTAGAATCATAGAATATCAGGGTTGGAAGGGACCTCAGGAGGTTATCTAGTCCAACCCCCTGCTCAAAAGCAGGACCCATACCCAATTAAATCATCCCAGCCAGGGCTTTGTCAAGCCTGACCTTAAAAACTTCTAAGGAAGGAGATTCCACCACCTCCCTAGGCAACACATTCCAGTGTTTCACCACTTATGAGGAGAGGCTGAGGGAACTGGGATTGTTTAGTCTGCAGAAGAGAAGAATGAGGGGAGTTCTGATAGCTGCTTTCAACTACCTGAAAGGGAGTTCCAAAGAGGATGGATCTAGACTGTTCTCCATGGGAGCTGATGACAGAACAAGGAGTAATGGTCTCAAGTTGCAGTGGGGGAGGTTTAGGTTGGATATTAAGAAAAACTTTTTCACTAGGAGGGTGATGAAATACTGGAATGCGTTACCTAGGGAGGTGGTGGAATCTCCTTCCTTAGAAGTTTTTAAGGTCAGGCTTGACAAAGCTCTGGCTGGGATGATTTAGTTGGGGATTGGTCCTGCTTTGAGCAGGGGGTTGGACTAGATGACCTCCTGAAGTCCCTTCCTTCCAACCCTGATTCTGTGATTCTAAGTGACAAGTCCTTTGCACTTGACCACTGTGTGGATAGTCAGCAGGATCTGGTAGGGACCTTTCCACCAAGGCTCCAGGGAAGTCTTTCTCTGGTACTCCTTGCCACCAGCTACAGCCTGGAGATTGGGTCTACCTTAAGGTGTATCAGCTGGTTCAGGCAGGGCACTTTTCACCTGTGAGTGAATAGACCTAATGCAACAAATCAGCATCTGACAGTATGTCATAACAGTATCATTGTTTAGTTGCAAATCCAATTGATAAGGGGATGGGGGAGGGGATACTGACATTCTCATAGGCCTGGCGTAAGGATTTCATGTGGGGACAGGCCATGTTTACATAAGGGTGTGCTTCTCATGTATCGGGGTTGGACTAGATAACCTCCTGAGGTCCCTTCCAACCCTGATATCTATGATACATGAGGGTGAGGGGCAGGGCATCCGGCCACTTGAGGCTGGTTTCAGCACAGATCTTAGAGATTTTGTTCTTCAATTCCCCATTTTTGCACTCGACCACCCCCGCGCTCTGGGGGTGATGGGCACAATGCAAGTGTTGGGTAATGTTAAGGGCCTTCCAAATCTACTGCATAATTTGGCCTGTAAAATGGGTACCTCAATCGCTGTTAATAGAAAGGGGCAGACCAAACCGGGGGATAAAGTCTTTTAACCACTGTGATGGAATTGGCCTTGGCACTAAGACAAACAAACCAGATGAGACAAACAAAATATCTGGACACATGGGGGAAGCAGCCAGAATCAAGTTGCTGAAGCGCCCAAAAAAAAAAAGCAGCCGGAGCAGAGTTCCCAAAGCAAAAAAAACCCCCAAAAACCAGAGCGGCCAAAGCCGCAATATCAGGACAAATGGCCCCCCGACTGTGCATCGGTCGGGACGCAGGACAAAGAACTAAAAATCAGGACAGTCCTGATTTTATCAGGACGTCTGGTCACCCTACTTGGCACAAGGGTAGGCCTCTATCCATCCAGAGTATGTACAAACAAGGACATATTCATAAGAACAACATTTTGGCATATTGATAAAATCAATCTGAATATTCACAAAGGGCCCCCACGGAGTGGGGTGCACAGCTGATTTTTGTCCGTACTGGCCTGCTGCTATTGTGGGCTAGGCAGATAGGACAGGAACTGCAGTACTGATGTGCCACGATGGAAAAGTTTGGGGCATACCAGTATTGCAGTGCTGATGTTATCATCCCCCCCATTTGCTGACGTGTGCAGTGCCATGGGACATGCGAGCAAGATAAGGGAGCAAAGCGTTGGGTGCCACTAAGCGGCCATCTGGGGAATGCCACAAGGCATCAGGATGTAAAGAACATCCATCCAGCCTCCACCTGCCCTTCTCATGCTCTGGGGTCAACTCTTGCATAAGAGCTAAATCTTGAAGGGAGTCAGGCATGGAGGGGGACTGCGTAATAAGGAAAACAAAGTCAAATGGAGCCGGTGATCCGGAAAGGGCTGCCTGTTTGGCAGTAGCATCTGCCAAATCATTTCCTCTGGTAACCTCATCATAAGGGTTCTGGTGGACAACACATTTTACAATGTTGATGGCAGAAGGAAGTTGAAGGGCAGAGAGAAGAGCATCAACAAAAGGCCCATTACTAAACCTCACCCCCCCGATGTGAGAAATCCACAGTGTTTCCATAGCTGCCCGTAGTCATGAACTACCCCGAAGGCATAACGGGAGTCTGTGTAGATAGTAACAGATTTGTCCTTGGCCAAGGTACAGGTATGGGCAAGGGAGACAAGTTCCACAACTTGGGCTGAGTGTCTTCCCGGGAGGGAGTGGGACTCAACAGGCTCATGTTGGGAACAAACGGCATAGCCAGCCACGAGCTGGCCAGCAGAATTTCTAATACAAGACCCATCTACATAGACTAGTAGATCAGGATTGTAGAGTGGGGTGTCTTTCAGGTTGATTCTAGGGGTGGAGAGTTCTGTTGATACGGTTAAACAGTAATAAGGCTCTCCATCAGCCGCAGGGGGAAGTAGGGAGGCGGGGTTGAGAACAGAGCAGAGGGTAAGAGTTACATCTGAGGCATTTAAAAGCAGCATTCCCTACTTAGTCAGTCTGGAGTTAGAGAGATGCTGGGTTGCATTTTTCAGAAGGAGGGCAATCACAGCAAGCAGAACTGCAACACATAGGGTGGATCCCAAGACGAGGGTAGCAGAAGCCTCCACAAGGCTGGCGGCCGCTGCTACTGCCTGTAGGCATGGAGGGAGTCCAGCCGCCACAGGGTCCAAAGGTGAGCTATAATATGCAATGGGGCATTGCTTATCCCCATGAGTTTGAGTAAGGACCCCCAAGGCTATTCCCTCCTCATGGCAGAAGAGAGTAAAAGGTTTCTGATAGTCTGGTAAGCCCAAGCCTGGGGATCTGGTAAGGGCTTCTTTAATCTGCATGAAGGCTGCTTCGGCCTCAGAGGAACATGGAAGGGGCTCTTGGACCTTGTCAAGGGTTAGGTCTTGCAGGGGCTTGACAATAACTGCACACCCGAGGATCCATTGTCAGTAGTACCCAGCCATGCCTAAAAAGCCACTCCTTTGCTTTTTAGTGGTTGGCCTAGGGACCTGGAGAATGGCCTGTCCTCGTGAAGAGGACAAGTGCCTCCCTCCAGCTGAAATATCCTGTCCCAAATAACGAACCCTTGGCAGACGGCCATAGTTTAGACTTGGAAGCTTTGTGTCCCTTCTGGGCTAGTGCTTGCAAGAGCACAAGGGAATCCGTTTTAGAGGCTTCAAGTGAAGACAATGCTAGAATCAGGTCATCTACATACTGGACCAGGGTGGACCCCACTGGGAATTCGGTGTCATCCAGATCCTTGTTAGGAATTGGGGAGAACAAGGTGGGCGACTTGGTATAACCCTGGGGTAACCTGTTCCGAGTATACTGGAGCCCTTGGTCGGTAAAGGCAAACAGATACTGGCTATCTTTATGAACAGGGATAGAGAAAAAGGCCGAGCCGAGGTCAACAACAGTGAAATAGATGGCGGATGGGGGAATGCAGGAGATTGCAGGATTCAAAGCCCTGAGTGCTGGCCCTTACACCATGGGACCAGACCTTGGGTTTTTCTGACTTCTGGCCTGAAAGAGCCTGGGTGGACAATTTTTTGCCTCCCTTGCTCAAGGCCTCTCTGGCCTTTCTGGCCAGCCCTACATTTGCTCAACAAGTCGGCACACAGTGGCTTGCTGTGGACCCAGAGGCCTTTCTTCCTTCAGACTGTGAGGCCAGTGGGTGTGTGAGGAAGTTGCCCCTTCAGGCCCAGGCAGTAAATGGCCTTTCCTAGGAAAGGCCAAGTCCTGAAAAGAAGAAAAAGTAATGTCAAGGAGGGTACTGAAGAGCTGCTTTTTGAAGTTTTTGGGGGATATCACAAGAAGGAAATGATGCCCCCTATGTCTGACTAGGGGCTTGAACCCTGGACCCTCAGATTAGAAGTCTGATACTCTACCAACTGAACTAGCCAGCCTCATATAAAGAAGAGGCAAGTTTGGTGCAGAAGAGAAACTTTTCAAGAAAAAGAAGACAGGAAACAATACTGAACCTGCCTACTCTCACTCTCTTAGCGGCCCTAGTCCCAGCCTGCTCCTCTGTCTGGTGCCATGAGATCTTCTTTTTTTAGTTAAATATTGGCTCCAGAAGAAAACAGTTATACAAAGCAAAACAAAATCAGACAGAAATGCCATTGAAAATACAAAAAAAAAAGAATGCAATCCCCATCACATTATGGTAAATGACAAAGCCCTGGCTGGGATGATTTAACTGGGAATTGGTCCTGCTTCAAGCAGGGGGTTGGACTAGAAGACCTTCTGGGGTCCCTTCCAACCCTGATATTCTATGATTCTATGGTATCCAGGGCCAGATTAACTTTTTGTGGTCCCTGCACCAAACATATTTGTGGGGCCCCCTGTGGAATGAAGGGGAAAGAGCACAGTGGGGCATGGTGGTGAAGGATTGATCCCAAGCTGGAGTGAGGCAGGGGCAAGATGAGCACAGTGGGGTATGGGGGGAGGATTAGGCAGGGGCCGGGGCAAAAGCACAGTGGGGTTGGAGCTACGGTTCCTCCCTGGAGCAAGGGAGGGGCTGGGGGTAAACTGCAAGCACAGCAGGGCTGGGTAGGGGGTAAACAGGATCCACCCTGCCTCTGCCTACATGGAGTGGTACCTACCTTCTCCCTGGTTCTAGCACATTCTCCATCTCTCTCTCTGCACTGAGCTGAGGCTGGGGGTGCACAGGGCTGGGAGGGAGTTAGGGTGAGGGAGGGGGCTCAGGGTCTGGGAGGGAGGTTGGGGTGGAGCACTTACCTGGGGCAGCTCCCATTTTGTGCAAGGGGTGCAGGTGGGAATGTGGGGTGTGTGTGCAGGAGCTCCCATTTTGTGCTCAGGGTAGGGGTGGGGATGTGGGGCGGGGTGCAGGAGTCGGGGCTGGGGGTGTGTTAGGGGTCTGCAAGAGTCAGGGCATGGGTCGTGGAGGGATGGGTATGTGTGGGGGGTGCAGGAGTCAGGACTGGGGGCATGGGGGGGTGCAGGAGTCAGGGCAGAGGGCTGGGAGCACCCCCACAACCCCAGCTCACACCCCCAGCCCTCTGCCCTGAGTGGCTCACGGCCCTGATTCCACTGCCTTCTCCAAGACCCCCCCCCCCATCTGCCTCCTCCCCCAGTGGTGAGTGCATTGTGGCTCCACTCCTCCCCCTCCCTCGTGTTGGCAGACAGCTGTTTGGCAGCAGGGAGAGGAAGGGGTGGGGAGGGGCGGGAAGACGGCACTCTAGGGTAAGAGCCCGGGGAGGAGCTTGGCTGTCGGTGGAGGTTGCCCGGCTGCAGCAGGAGCCCCAGGAGCTGGCAAGCACCAAGCTTCTGCCCCTGCAGGAGAGAGCCGGGGCCAGGTCCCTTTGGAGCATGGGCCTGGCGCCATGGTAAATCCGGTACGGATGGTATCTGGGCCAATCCTGCATTGAGAGCACCCACTAATGTCCCTCTGTGCTTACGAGAAACCTGGAGGAACGGATACCACAGCCTGAACACGGAACACAACTGCTCCCGCTTGTCGCAGTAAAACCCTTTCCCTGCCCTCAATCAGAGACCAGCTGGACAGAATCAAGGCCCGTCCAGGTCCCAGAGCCCAGCCCACACCCGCCTCCACTCTGCTGCTGACTCAGGGTGTTTTTCCACCACGGCCAGCCGATTAAGGGCCACGGAAACCCGGTTAGCCACTGCTCGGAGAACTGCCTTCGTCGCTGAAGATGCTCCTCACGGCCGCTGTGCCAAATGGGGTACAATGCTGTGGCATCAATGAGCTACAGTATGTCCAGTCATCCGAAGAGTCAGTTTCTTTCTTTGTGGTTGCTCTTCCATTCCCCTCAGGCCTGCCCTGCCCTCCAGCTCAGCCTCCTGCTGAAGACTGAAAAACACAATAGTAGAGCCGTAAAAGGCTTCAACGCCCACCATGCCCAATCCCCACATCTCGGTACTTAAAGGGTGTGACAAAGTGGGACTGTTCTTAATGTTTCCTCTGAATAGTGTGCGGGTGCCTCAGTTTCCCCTATGCAGTTCTTAAGTATCTAGGGGGTGGGATAAGGGTGTATGATCCTTGCAGAGCCCTAGAGGGCAGGTGTGTGCAGGGGTCTGGACACAGACAATGGCTGACACCCTGTTTCCTGGCAACTGATGGCCTGGGCCCTTCCCCCTGCAAGGTGAGAGCTAAAGGGTTGGAGAACAAAGGAATCCAGTGATCTCCTGGGCCCAGGAAAGGGACAAAGCCAAGATGAGGAGGGGCTGGAGAGTTGCAGTTTGGGTCTGGCTGAGGACATGGAGTGAAGTGCAGACGTGGTTGTCTGGCTCACTGCCCCCCAAAATGGACCCAGCTGAGGGGTCCTGTTCTCTGTACCTACAAGCTGGTTTAGACCATGTTCCTGTCGTCTAATAAACCTTCTGTGTTACTAGCTGGCTGAGAGTCACGTCTGCCTACGGAGTTGGCGGGCAGGACCCTCTGGCTTCCCCAAGACCCTGCCTGGGCGGACTCGCTGTGGGAAGCGCACAGAGGGGCAGAGGATGCTGAATGCTCCTAGGTCAGACCCAGGAAGGTGGAAGCTGTGGGAGCTGTGTGTCCTGCAGACAGGCTGCTCACAGAAAAGAGACTTCCCCAAAGTCCTGACTGGCTTCGTAGGGAGCAGTTCCAGAGCATCGCCCGGGGACTCCTTGACAACAGGCACCCATGCCATTTGCAAATATTTTAAGGCTCTTGTCGGTAGGATCTGGGGACAGTGGCTCACCTTCAGAGGAACCTCCCTAAAATTGGCCTTTCTCACCCACTGGTATGTTGTCCTCCATATGGACTGTGCCAAAGGAAGGCCTCGCTACTGTGGCTGACACTGCTGTGAGGGTGGCCACTGCTGCAGCTGAAATCAGGGAGGGCATTATTGGTGGACTTTGTGCTCCATAGCACTCATTATCGCTAGATTATGGAGCATGGTCCCCAGTTAAGATGTGAAAGGAAAGATCTATGGAAGGAAAAGGCTCCCTTCCCCTGGACCTCACAGCAATAGAATCATAGAATCATAGAATATAAGGGTTGGAAGGGACCCCAGGAGGTCATCTAGTCCAACCCCCTGCTCGAAGCAGGACCAATTCCCAGTTAAATCATCCCAGCCAGGGCTTTGTCAAGCCTGACCTTAAAAACCTCTAAGGAAGGAGATTCTACCACCTCCCTAGGTAACGCATTCCAGTGTTTCACCACCCTCTTAGTGAAAAAGTTTTTCCTAATATCCAATCTAAACCTCCCCCACTGCAGCTTGAGACCATTACTCCTCGTTCTGTCATCTGATACCATTGAGAACAGTCTAGAGCCATCCTCTTTGGAACCCCCTTTCAGGTAGTTGAAAGCAGCTATCAAATCCCCCCTCATTCTTCTCTTCTGCAGGCTAAACAATCCCAGCTCCCTCAGCCTCTCCTCATAACTCATGTGTTCCAGACCCCTAATCATTTTTGTTGCCCTTCGCTGGACTCTCTCCAATTTATCCACATCCTTCTTGAAGTGTGGGGCCCAAAACTGGACACAGTACTCCAGATGAGGCCTCACCAATGTCGAATAGAGGGGGACGATCATGTCCCTCGATCTGCTCGCTATGCCCCTACTTATACACCCCAAAATGCCATTGGCCTTCTTGGCAACAAGGGCACACTGCTGGCTCATATCCAGCTTAGAATCATAGAATATCAGAGTTGGAAGGGACCTCAGGAGATCATCTTGTCCAACCCGCTGGTCAAAGCAGGACCAATCCTCAATTTTTGCCCCAGATTCTCTAAATGGCCCCCTCAAGGATTGAACTCACAAGCCTGGGTTTAGCAGGCCAATGCTCAAACCACTGAGCTATCCCTCCCCCTGTCTTGCGCATTTAGAGTGAAGCTCACTGCGGAAAGAGAGTGTCACTTAGTAGATTTGTACAGTGCCTAGCACAATGTGGCACTGATCTCAGTTGGTGCACTTGTGCCTGAATTTCCTATATTTTTAAAAGGTGAGCCCTCCTTCAGGAAAACACAATAAATAAAATAAATAAATAAATAAATAAATTAATAATAATAATAAACAAATGATAGTTGGGAATGGTTTAGATATACTTAATCTTGCCTCAGCATGGCAGCTGAAATCATTAGATGACCTCTTGATGTCTCTTCCAGATGTACATCTCTATTCTTTCTATAATCACTTTTCTAAATCACAGGTAGTACAGGTACTCTATTATACAGGTATTTACTCAGCCTGATGATTGCTGGTTGAAAAATTTTAAAATTACTGATGAAAAACAGGGACAAATTTTTCAGGCAAAATTCATCCTTTTTTCACCTGGCTATGACGCTGGCCAAAAACAAAAAAATGTATAATTTCACATTTTTCCAATGGAAAAAAGGGAGAAATATTCTCACTTTTACCACCTTTACTTGCTACCTATTTAGGTGCTTATAGAGGTGTGGTATCCAAGCATCTCATATTGTGAGATCTGACAGCACCCGGTAGCAGTGTAATTTTCTACACTAAAGTGATAGATGCTGAATAACTGAAGTGTGCCTAGACACTCAAATGGCTAATACTTCCAAAGAACATAGAATCATAGAATATCAGGGTTGGAAGGGACCCCAGAAGGTCATCTAGTCCAACCCCCTGCTCGAAGCAGGACCAATTCCCAGTTAAATCATCCCAGCCAGGGCTTTGTCAAGCCTGACCTTAAAAACCTCTAAGGAAGGAGATTCTACCACCTCCCTAGGTAACGCATTCCAGTGTTTCACCACCCTCTTAGTGAAAAAGTTTTTCCTAATATCCAATCTAAACCTCCCCCACTGCAACTTGAGACCATTACTCCTCGTTCTGTCATCTGCTACCATTGAGAACAGTCTAGAGCCATCCTCTTTGGAACCCCCTTTCAGGTAGTTGAAAGCAGCTATCAAATCCCCCTCATTCTTCTCTTCTGCAGGCTAA